CCTGTGCACTGCGAACCCGGTCAGAGCCTGGAATCTGCACGTGGGAATTTGAATTTTTTTCTTATTTTGGATCAGTGCCCCCCCAGCTCCTTGGTCCTCGCTACGCCCCTGCCAATCTTGACGGGCCACAAAACTGAAAAAAGCAAATTCATCAGTAAAACTGAGAAGCCAGTTTTATATTTAAAGAGTAGAATACTAAATTATGTGAATTCTTTCCGAAAAATCTCATAGAAATGTATAATAATTCTGATTATAAAACTCGTGTGCTGTTATCGAGGCCCATCAAGTTTCTTATAAATTTGGAAGGGCGCGCAACCTTGAGAAAATATCATTAATACCTTTCTTTTGTAGAATCATGACTTCTGGTTTTCTTACTTGAACAAGATGTTGGACACCAGCTAACTGCTATATCACTCCCGTATAACGCGACGAAAATATCACAGTCAATGTTAAGTATTCCACTTGGTAATCCTTTTCCCTTGTGGCAGCACGAGTGTATTCTATCGAGTATAAATTTGTTTCCCTGATGGTTTGTTCCAAAGAATCCAAAGGTTAGGTTACGTGTACTGCTAAAAATCCATAGCCATGAAACGTTGGCATGTTCACAGATTTGCCAGAGACAGGCTAATTTACTGGAGATCCCTGTTTGTGTAGGATAATCTGAATCGTTTACCTTCCGGATTCTATTAGTCGTTGAATGTACACTAGTGTCATTGTTGAGTTGGCTGGCCACTACAGAAAATACAAAGAAATTTAACAGCAAACCTGTCCGAAGATATTGATCACAGAATCCATGGCCAAGAATCATGGTTGCAAACAAAGCTTCTGAAAGTTGTGTTTTAATCCCAAGTGGGATGATATTTTAAGTACGTAGGAAATTAAGTATTTTAGGTTTTGGCAATGATTCCTTGTCGTGATTTGCGGTCGTGATATTCAGGGAATTATTCAAAAAGAGCCCAAAATGATTTTCGAGTCGATATGCGTCCTTAAAATCAAAGAAGCAAACCACAAACATTGTTTTGAAAATAATGGAAATAGCAAAATGGAAATATGATAATAAAAATCTTAAATCAAATTTATTTGTATATTTTAAAAACCGTGTTTGTATTGAGCATTGTCGTGCAAATGATATAGTTGTTCGGGAGTAAAATATTGTTCATTGTCGTCTTGTTAAATTATTTATTTAGTTTGGTGGATAAGAATCCGTTTGAATTCAAGATCATGGTTTCAGATATAGCTATTTCCCCACCGCCATGTAATATATACATTTTCTGAAGTAGACGCTGAAGAATCGAATAATTGTCCTATGAATTTGAAATTATGTTTATGCGATCCAGGCATTTGAAGATGTCCGAGAGCTTTTGGCTTCCAATTATTTGCAATGAAGTATTCAGTGATACAAGTTATTAGTAGTATTTTTTCCATGATATATAGCAGTACAAAAACCTTCGTTTTATTGTGAATATAGAACATATAAATATAGAAATGTAAGTTTAGTGCCCCTAGTATTGTGATAAACCAAAAGGGGAACACTGAATTCCATACCAAAAATATGACTTCTATGTGTTAATTCCCCTCCCGCTATTTCCACAATCAGAATAGAGCTTTGAGAGTGACCTCTGTTTATCAGGGCTCTTAAACTCCCCTTAATTCGTACCGTTGCTGTCAAGTAGAGGCTTCGCACCATCATATCACCACGGCCACGTTAGATGATAGGAACATTACAATCGCTTTACCCAATAATTCAATTCAAATGTTCTGCCATCTAATCACACAGGCAGCTAATAAAGCTGTGTCTTGTGCGTGGGCAAGTGATGTTGCAAATTCTCTATTGGCTGTTGTTAGAGTAAATTTTAGAAAATACCGGCTGTTAAGAACACGTGTGATGAAGGATGTACAGTGACCTTGAAAGTTTCTCTTCCAGGAATTTTAATTTCATAAACTACACAAACACTTGAACGCCTATTGGCTCGAAGGCATTTGATTTGTACCAAGGCATACCAGAACGAGATCTTGACAGTACGTGCCGGTCTGTAGAGCACGCCATCTTGACACACCTGTCTAACACAAAATCGTGGTCATTTACGCATTAGAGGTTTCGGACATTCCTCACACGATAATTCGTGACACTTTTATATTTTGTATGCATGTGCGCAAACATTTTTTAATGCGCATTCCACAACCGTCTAAGGGAATCAAGGACGGCGCATTGCAGTACACTAGCCTTTCACCTCTGGAGTTTGGGGTTGGAGTTCAATTCCTGGACTTGGCATATTCACACGTGAGTAGAGGAAGTAAGCTCTCTCATTCATTCAAGGTTTCCCCCCCTCTCTCTCCATGTAAGACCTAACAAGGAAAACTCCAATAATATCTGTGAGTTAACGCAGTGACTTGATTAGCCCAGAGGTTATTTCCGACTTCCATACAGCAATTTAAAGTTACAAACGCACGTGAACGTTTAACTATGTAACATAACCATACCATAACATACTGATACGCCCAAAAGACCCAGCCCCTTCTTGCCGACAAGATGGAGAAGTCTTCAAGATCCCGAGCAGCGAGTGCGACAGCGGCACCAGTGAAAGTTGAAGACCAGCACAATAATTTATACTATTTCTTATTTTTAACTATCCTTCTGGTGCTCTTTAGAAAGACAAAAAAAAAAAAAAAAAAAAAAAAAAAAAAAAAAAAAAAAAAAAAAACATAAGAGAGGCATTCTATTTGCTAGGACCCAGACCTTCGCCATTCTCAAGCACTCCAATACCACCGGCCACTGCCCAGATTGGAACAACGTTGAGTGCAACGACAGAGCCAACCACTGGTACACACGCAGGGTCAATGAAGCCATCCATATATATAATATAATTAGACTCCATCCCAACAACATRAATAGGGACAGACAGCGGAATTGAGATTCCGAAAGCTTGGATATCAACCATTCGATAGGACTCCGTCACGCCCACCACTCACAGCCGCGGTGCGATCAGTGAGCCAGACTGACGGTGTATAAGAAGACCACCTTCCAGTTTACACCATCGCCTGATGAAGACTAGCATATATACACTCCTTTCTACCACCTCTTTCTCTTTTACTCCGACGAAGGACTAGCGTCCGAAACGTCAGTAAGTTTTTTCATCTTTTCACGGCGTATAATTTACCTTTTCATCATTACTGTTAGAAGACTAGCATGTAGTGGCAGTCAAAACGTCACGGTCCACCTAACTGCTACAATCGTGATATACAAAATAAATATAATCTTTAAATAATTTGACAGTTTTTAGGTGAAGGTCTTTCACATAACAGACCTTTTTCGAATTTCAAATTAACACTTTGTTTCTTGATTACAGATTCAACGGTAAAGCATCCACAGCTTCAACATGCAAACATTTTGAAATTCCACGGAACTTTGCTGGACCATCGATACCATTTTTGGGTTACTTATGATCTCCTCGGCCCTTCTCGCGCTAAACACACACTCGGCGTATACCGATAGTCTGATGTATTGATCTAAAATTCAATAGTAGCATTTATTCTTTAGTAATACAAGCACACGTTGTTGTTCTCAGATAAACTACATCGATTATGCTATTATCTTAAATATTCCCCACCTTGCATGCGTGGAGTATACGCAATGTTCAGGACGATGCAACTCAGAAAAAACTAACATATTTTAGCGGTTTTTTACATGCAAGTTGTAATTGAAAACTCTTTGACATTTATTATTTCTAACTCTTTGCCTTTTGGCAGGTTTAAACTCTGTTGACGTTCTAATTTTAGTTAATCTTTATTTCTTCCAACATGCTATTCGTGCTAAGGAATCCGAATCCAAGATTGCTGCTTAGCAACATTTACCAACCAGCCTCGTTTCAATAACTAAGTTCGATTTCAGGAATATTGAATGTTTGCTGGTTGACATGTTTCACCCCTTTTTCATTGCTATTTTTACATCGGTTCACTAGTTAAACACAAAGCATTCAGTCGAGGCTTCAAGGCTTAAATTCGAATTTCAGTTCGAAACCGTTGTCTCCAGTCCCCAGACACTTCTAAGCGACAAATTGATTTTTCGTTAGAAAGTTGAGAACGTTTTGGGAACGAAAATGCCTTTGAAACCATGTTGAAGCCTCAATGAATGCTTTTTATGTGACCAGTGAGCCGATGTATAGAAAATGGTGAATAACACTCAGATAATCTTTGTTTATTCTTATTTATTACATGTCCTTAACGAAGACTTTAATTTGTCATTGTAAAGTTAGGAACGTTTCTCTGTGTTACTACTGACATTTTGCTGCTGATGCAACCAGTATTTTATTTGTTCTATGTATTTCTTGTTCTTTGGTTCTACTTGATGGCGTCATGTCTTGTTACGATGGCGACGACGTCTAAATATGACTGGTATTCCAGCATCACTTAATAGACCTGGTGCCCATGCACTGTGACATATTCTATGGTTGTTCCTTCCGATGTCATGCTCTGGCCTCTAGTATACACACTTCTGAATTTGACCAACTTTTTTCCTCGAGTTTTTCATACTTTATCATATGATGTGACGGATATTGAAGGTTGTTCGACGCGAAGAGGAGGAGTACTAGTGACGACAGGAACTGTTCTTGAAGGAGCTTCTGGCCATGGCTGGGACAAGTCTGACTTGGGTGTGGCTGAAGCAGTGCTAAAGGATCCACTGTATCGTGTATTCCAACGATATATTATAAATACAGTAATAAATATTGCTAATACTGCCACGACTACTAGAATAGTAATGATCCAGGCAGGTACTCCATGGTACTTGGAAGAGCTTCTTGGGTCTGAATAAATAAGACTGGTGTCTGTGCTGTTCTCAGAGCCACCAGAAAWTGAAGAACTCTCTGTTAGAAAAAAAATACCATCACGTTACAGTGATACACGATCGAATTTAAAATGACCACCAAAAGCCAATAACCAAGCAAGTTGATATACAGATAGAAACACTGCCGCAGTCATTCAAATATTATGTCACAATGAAGACATAGCCCACATATCTATACTTAATCTCTACAGGTCTATGTGTCACTGGTGTGTCGGGCATGCTCGGTGTCGTATGTGAGTAGAGTTGCTTGTTGGTTCTCTACTGTGCCTCGAGGGTTTCAATCCGGATTGTCCAGTTTCCCCTCCCCCCACCCCCCACCCCTCCGTCAACTTCTAAATTCCAATTGGAATCTAGTGGAAGAAGCGCCACTTTGTGGAATCCAATGTTAATTCCATTATTTATCATTTAATTATAAATTAATCTAATTATTAATTAATTTGATTGTTAATTAGTTTAATTATTTAAAACAATATTTTTTTTACAATTAGGGGGAAAGGAAACTGGAATTTGGGACAATTGACAGGGTAACGAATATGAACAAAAACGTATGACAAATGAGTTAGTTGAATGACAAACCCGATAACACTAACTTACGTACGTGGTCGTAAACTATTTATGCAAAATGTTAACTTACCATTACTTCCTGGGGATGTAGTAACACTTTCCTTTGTCACGCAATCTTCATCATCACTGCCTGAACAATCTCCTGACCCCATCCCAGTTAGTGTCGTGGGGTTAACTGTAACGGTTTTTGTAGCAACAGTTGCCCAGACTTTAGCATCAATAACAAGTCCATGTTTTGTAAAGCGTTTATCATTTTTTTCTTTCATGACTTTATCTAATATTTTGTACTCATCAAACCGGAGTTGCTGTAGATAGCCACTWAAGTTTCTTTTTGAATAAGATTTCCCAAGATCTACATGCGATGGTCCTCCGCCAAAGTAAATAACTTCCTTGCCGCCCTTCAAGACCAGCTTGGAGGAAGATGCAGGTCCAGGGGCTCGACCTTTCTTTGTCACGCGACCATCTAGTATTAGAGTTGCGTGACGATTGCGCCGTTTCACTTCCACCCAGTGCCAGTGGTTATCACTTAAACGGCGACCGAATCCAGCAGTAAGAACTAATTCCCCTAGAACATATAAAATGAACATTTCAGAAAGAGCCTTAATTCGAGTAAAAAGGAGCTGAAACTTTGAAAACCCTTAATTCTATCAACCACTAAAAAGATCACAACGTTTTGTTGTGTTGCTTTCCACCTGGTAAATGAGACATGTTACAACACTGTTGACAGTGGCGGAGTTAGGAAGCCTGCGTAGCGGCTGAGGGGTTGGGGACCGCGTTGGTTGGGGGCTGTGGATTAGGTGACGAAGGACAATGCCAACCCCCTCCGCTAACCTCTACCCAGATTGGGTCTCTACGCAGGCTATATTTAGGGGATGGTCGCAGGGTGCCCGTGCACTCCACTTTCCGTTAATTTGCGATCATTAAATATTATGTGTTGATAATCGTACATTGTCACTTCCTCTAACACATTTGCATTTTCATTTAAATGTAATCTTAGGCTCAGGTCAAATGTCGAACTTCACATGAGCCGAACTTAATAAAATCAAATAAGACCGCCTTGTTATCCATTGTTTCAATTTGGTTCGGCTCATGTGAGGTTCGACGTTTGACCTAAGCCTTAGAAGAGACATTGCTTATGCTTTTCAACTCTCAAGACCCATCAATTAGTTATCATTTACTTTTACCTTCCTTCCTTTCTTTCTTGAACACACATGCACTTTAAGTAAACTCGTAGGATGCATTTCCTTTTTTTCCAATTTATTATCCATCCCTCCAACAAACCATCCCTCCATCCTTCGAATACACGTGCAATTTACAATTAAACTGTCTCATAACATGCACGGCCTGTCCTACCTTTGCCAAGATCCAGCTTTAGCACGATATTCCCATGCYGTAGTTCAATAACCAAAAAATGTCTCTTTACACTACTATGTAGTATTACTCCATCTGATAGTGAGGTGCGAAAGCGAAAACCAATGTAGTTTCTCAATGGCGTTTTATCCTTAGTGTCTTTACCCATGTCGTATTTGATGTAGCCTGTCCCGTTCAACCACACCGATGTAGACGCTAAAAAGAAATAATAACCAAATAAAGGTGTTGAAGAAATAGAAAATGCGCGCTTTTGCTGTGTGTAGTTATAAAGCACGCGGGGATTGACAGAACACAAGTGCAGTGTTACGACGCTTTTTTTATAAAATGAAAGTTGCAGTAGCCGTTATTTTATATGCTAATGACGTGAGTAGAAAATGTGTGCGCTTGCTGTGTGCTCTCATAATGCAGCGTAATTCCAAACCAATCAGAAAGTCAAATTCATAACAGGTATTTTATAATAAGCATTAAATGATGTCTGCCCTGGCTTACTTAGAAGAACACACAATCCTTTTGGCAAGCATTTCTCACGGGACCCTACAGTTGGCCAGCAGATGGAGCGGGCATTCGGCCGTCTTCACAAGCAATATGCTGGACACATAAAACATTTGAAAGCATTGTCTTTCGAAACTAACTTCCCAAGATGATTAAGATGACAACACTTAACTTGGGGGAAAAAATATTGGAAAATCATGAGTGTTTTAGAAATTAAATTTACATTTCCGCCATTTTGTTCTCAGTATTTTTAAAGAAAACAGCGGAAATTCAAGAATTCAAATATGTATATCTCTCGTTTAAATTATGAATTATAAAATTTCTCTACGATTTTCACTCATAAAGTTATTTCAAAAGAT